TTCCGTCTTCCGTATCGGTCGCAAGCTCCGAGCACGTGCTGTGTCTTCAACATCGCCAGCCCCACCTCGACCGCCTCCACACTGTCCCATGTCCAAAGTTGTTCGGTATCGCAATGGGGCATATCTCCATTTCCAGAGCCCGCGGCAAAGGTTAGTCGACGGGGCACGCAGCGTATTAACCCGTACGGAGTCTTCTGTACGACGGCTGCAGGGCGTGGCCTTGACTTGGACGCCAGAATCTCCGCACTCGAGAGATTAGTACAGATGCCCCTGGTGCCCTTACGCAGGCTCAACCTCAGGCCCTGCCACTAGACTGCTCTGCAATCAATTTCCGGCCGACCAAGACTGTGTCCTGCATGCCTCGCTGGCGTTGCCAGAACCTGTGAACCATGTCAGCCACAACTGAGTCTGCTCGACTTAGTATGCAAGGCTATCCAGAAGCCAAGCAACAACCTTGACACCAAAGTTTCTTACATTTCTTCGGGGGATCCATGTCCGTGGATCGAGGCCAGTCTGGCTTCCTCTTCCAATGTTTGCCTAGTGATTTGCTCCGTCTTTTCGACCCCTGGAACCTCGACTGTGGCCTTGTCGCTCACCACGTGGCCGACCGTCTCCTCCAAGAGCTTCTTCCTCATCTGGAAGCGTTCCTTGCGTTCCCTCTGGAGGCCAGGGCTCTCCACCTTACCCATGACAAATCGGACGGTAAGCTGAGCCGCAAAGTAGAGGTGTTCAGCTAGGAGGATGCTGAGGAGAACACCGCCCGCAGTGATGTATGATACGGAGCCGTCTTGCTTGTCACCACTGCAAAGATAGACAATGGCGGCGCTGGTGACGCTACCGAGCCATGAAAGGAAGCCCAGGGCCGTCAACCACGGTCCAATGGAGTCGGCTCGCCACGGGATGGGTCTGCGACAGCCAATAACAATCTTGAGAGCATCCGATCGCAGCTCGACCCAGTTGTTGAGGAGGAAAAAGCAGGCCGTAAGAGGCCACGAAACGGAAAACAGAGAGAGATAGCCTGTTTAGAGTTGTTAAAGGTCTTGCTTCACGAATCACGATTCAACGCAATGCAGAGTCTCAACTCACCAAACTGCATCACCATCTCGCGGTAGTCTGCAGTAACGTCGTAGACCTCGAGCCCTGTTTGATTTCGTACACGTTTCAAGAATTCGGCTTCTTCGGGTTGGTCATTGGACTTGACCGTGCCATTGGACGACAGCTCTTTTGCTTTAACAGTAGCTTTGTGCTTGAGGTAGGGTACAACGACTTCGGTAAGAGTATTGATGATTTGTGCCGTGACCGTGGTGTAGTACATTTGGTTAGCAATACGCTGGGGGTTTGCTTCAAACTGGCTCGTGGTCAAGGGAACCTCGCTCATCGTGAGAGTTTGGGCAGTCTTTCCCCAAAAGTTAAGGAATGGCTGCAGAATGCTACCAAAGGGAATGTAGACAAAGGCAGTAAAAGTCAATGCCATATATGAAGTCATGAAGTTGAGCACAAACTGTTTCTGGACCAGAGCAGCATGGTGGGCTTCAGTGGAAGATTCAATTAGTTTCAATTCAGAGTGATTTCCTTTGAGGCTTGCACTTTTTACACGTACCGTCCATGGTATCGTAATTCTCTTTATCTGTCAGCTTCTTAGCAGCAGACATGAGAATAGTCGAGAACGTTGGTGTCAAGGTGGCGAGTAAGATGGATGGCAGGAAGCCCTATGCCGCAAAGTTAGTATTATATTGTAAACCTGATGAATAAAGAAAGGATAGGGGGGTTAGAAGTCGAAAGATGGCACACTCACCAGATATTTCTTTCCTGAACCAGCATATACTTCGTTGATAAAAATCTCCAGAGAGTTTACCGTAGCCACAAGCCCTCCCAATACAACGACGCAGGCCAACGCAAAGGGTATCTGAAGAAGCTGAGTTTGCAGCCGCTTAACAGGAGCATAGATCTTGATGGGCTCTCCCGTGACCGCGTCCTCCGCCTCAAAATCCCACTGAAACTCCGGTCGTGGATGCTGTATCTTGGAAACGCCACGGACGCCCCAGGTGATGGACAAATCAGCTTCCTTGCGCTTCCAATACTCAAAAAACACGACGGACCAGAGACAGCTGCAGATGGCGTAAAACGTAGAGAATTGTCCCATCAGCATCCAAGCGGAGAAGCCTACCACCGCCGGGAATATCTGGAAGCGGAAGTAATCCTTGAGGAAAGCAAAGTAAAAGGCAACGCCCTCGCCAAACTTGTCTCGAATGTCGTCTAAATCGGATTGGTCCAAAATGTATTTTTTGCTCCATTTATGCAGCCACTCCTTGTTGAATGCATTGTTATGGAGTGGGAAGATGGCCTCAACGTACTTCCACTGGCCTTGCCCCTGCGTGATGCCCGCGCCTCCCTCGTTTCGAGACTCGGTAATCAGGAGATAGACTAGTCGCAGCCTCTCGGCCTCAGTAACGGGCTCGTCCTTGACTGCCTGCTGGATATCGCTGCCCGGGCTGGAGATGCGCACTCCTTGCAGCCAGTCCTGGAGGCGGGAGCTGTAGACCTGCCGGGCCAACAGATCATTTGAGGCGAGCCTGGTGAAGACAAGAAGAGAGTCCTTGTCACCGCAGCGAACAGCAGTGGTGAGACCGATATTTGTGAGCGCTTCGATGAGCTGAACAAAGGCGGCCTCTGCCTTGTCCTTCTCTAGAAGGGTGTAAGCCAGTGCAGGAGAGGACGGGTTCAAGTACCAAGACGGACATACCCTTGGGTGGTATTCGGTAATGAATCACATAATCAACCCTTTATTGTTTTCAACGGGGGCCGTTGGTTAGATGATGAAACGGAACGCAGCAGATCATCATCACATGCTTACCCAAAATTGCCATCTATGCCCTGATCCTCCCCCTTCCCGTACAAGCCCCGCAGGCTTGACATGTCGATGACGTCGAGCACGAGACAATCACAAGAACTCGATGAGGATGGTTAGGAAGAGAGAAATGGGTTAATCTTTACAATTGATTGCATGCAACACCAGGAAGCGCGCGTGCAAGTGGTAAGCAGTTATAAGGGGGGGGGTTGGAAAAGAGAGAGAAAGAGCTGCGTATGTGGTCAATCGATAGCAAGATTGCCAGGAGCTGTTGTGGGGATGGCGGGCAAAGACGTCACTGGCTGTGTGGTTACCCTATAAGGATTAGCCTTGTCCAGAGAGAAAGAGGTCGATAGGTGCTCTGAAAGACAGAAATAGACGAGATGGTGAAAGGGAGTAAGAATGAAACTGAAAAGGGTTGCGGATAGACGAGAAATAAAGAAGAAAAAGACGACATGCATCGTCCATTGCAGCTGAAAAACCTCGTCATGTGAAGCCATTTCCAAGCCATTGACGATCAGCCAAGATCCCAGATTTAATCTCCAAAAAAGCCCGGGCTAAGCCTCTCCCGGGAAGGGCGAGCGTCTAGCCAATCACCGAGCAGCATTGACACCATCAGCCATGAGCTCATCCCTCTTGAGATGCGTCATAGCCTTTCAGCCCTTCTCATTACATGCAAGTCTTTGATAAGCTGAAAAAACACCACAATGCCGGCATATCTCGATCAAATCTAGCTTCAAGATCAGCATCTTCAGTGCTGCTTTTCCCCTCGCCATGGGCCTGCTCACTTTCCTCGGCCTTCGCCGGGAGAACCAGTGGGAGCGCCTCACTCTCCTCGACCAGCTTCTCCTCTCGCCATTGACATTCATCACCGTCAGGCTCTATCACATCTTTCTCTTCCTCCGAGGCCAGCCGTTTGTTCCCCCTCGTGGCAAACCAGCTATTCGAGTCGTATGCATATCCGACACCCATGACCAAGTCGTCGACATACCCGCGGGCGACATTCTCATTCACGCTGGCGACTTGACCAACTCTGGGACCGCCGAGGACATTCAAAAGCAGCTCGACTGGCTGAAGAGCCAGCCCCATCAAGTGAAGATTGTTGTCTGTGGAAATCATGATAGCTGGTTTGACTCGCGCAGCCGCCTTGACCCGGACATCAAGGCTGGTGCTGTGGTCAACTTGGAAGGATTGCATTATCTTGAAAGTGGCTTGACCGTGCAAGAGATTCATGGGCGTAAACTCACCATTTTCGGTGTGCCCGACATTCCGGAATGTGGACCAGAGAGCTTTGCGTGAGTGCGACAGCGAGAGACGTTGGTTTCTAGTTGAAATGTTTGGAATGCTGACTCGAATATAGGTTCCAATACGAGCCTACCAATCCACCGTGGTTTAGCAGAATCCCACCTCAGACTGATATTCTGGTGACGCACTGCCCTCCGGTATAACAATTCTCCTCTTATGTCTGCCATGGGCTCAGGTTTGCTAATTTGTCTCATTAGAAACACCACATGGATCTTGGTCTCGGCGATCCGCATCTTCTTCAAGAGCTCTGGCGCGTCAAGCCTCGCCTCCACGTCTTTGGCCATGTCCACTGGGGCTACGGCAAGGAATCCGTCTTCTTCGACGACATGCAGCTTGCCTATGAGCGGCTGCTCTCTCGGCCTGCCCGCGGACCCTTTTGGGATTTTGTTCCCAACGCTGCTTGGTGGGATCACTTGTACGTGCTGTTGCACGGGGTTCATGCCGTGCTGTGGAAATGGATCATGGGAGGCCCCGGAAGCAACCAAGGTGGCCTGCTTGTGAATGCTGCTCAGATGTATGGAAGCACTGGCAAGGTGAAGAATAGGGCGGTGGTTGTCGATATTTAGCTGGTATGTTTATTAGATACGAAACTCAAGGACCTCCATGTAATAGCCATGTTTTGAAAATGAGAGGCAAAATACGATGCAAATACTGCTGTTAAGAATTTGTCGTTTATTAAATCCTAAAAGCTACATACTAAACAAGAGATCCCTGTGATTAATACTGGTACAATGCGCGCACTTTATGCTGGGGGTATTCTGTATACAAAAGATAGTAACCCCGACCCGAGTGTTCATATTTTGTCGTTGTCCTTTTTTTTTTCTTTTGATCTTTTTTGGGTTTGAGGTTAAAAGATTCTCATTGTAAGAACCAGTATGCTCAACCCCAAAATCGCCAGATATTTCTCCAATCCTGCATACATTGTTGATGCTCCTGCAACAAGCACCACTGGTGGGCTCACGGGCGTCTCCGGGAACGTTGAAGGCGGAGGACGAGACTTATCATGATCGTCACCGTGTGAAGGAGGATCGTGAGAATCAACGTCATGTAATGGTGATGCCGGAGGAGGGTCAGAAGAAACCCAAGGCTTCGGATCAACATGCGGCAACCATGTCGGTGTCACAACAGCTTCCTTTGTCTCAGGGCAGTCAACAACCGTCTCCGTCACTGGAATCACAATCTCTGACATCTCAGACTTCTCTTGCTTGTTCTTTTCCTCCGCCGTTATGGGGTCCCACGAAGCGGATTCTTTCCAGTCGCCCTCATTGTGACCTTTATGGTTGTTCCAATCGTGTCCGCCTCCACCCTGGTCGTCACACTCACAATCGTCTCCATCAAAGCTTTGATTGAACTCCTTGTGCTTGTCATCTTTGTGCTTCTCACCTTCATCTTGCTGCCAATCATTCTTCTCACTCTTGTGACCACTCCATTCATAATCACCTTCATGCTTGTCACCCCACTGCCAACCCTTTTCACGAGAATCCTGCTCGGAAACCGGGAAAACAGTCACCTCGGTCACCTCAGTAATCGTCTTAGACCACCCCTTCTCCGTCCAATTCGAGCCCGGAGCCATCGCCGGCGGTGCCTCCAGCTTCTCGTCTTCAACACAGCCGTACACTGTAAGTGCATGCAGCGGCAAAGTCTCTGACACGAACTTCTGGCGCGGCGCATCGATGTCCCGGGGCGTAACTATGCCGCCGCAGAACTCAAAGTTGTTTCCTGGACACTGTTTGTTGCACAAGCCCTCCTTTTTGGTCGCCATTGTTTCGGCATCGAGGCTGTCTGCGCAGAAACAGTGGGAGTCGAAGATGCCAACATAAGTCTTCTTGTTGCATAGATCGACGCACCGCTCGAGAGTCATGTCTCTGCTGTCAGCAACTTCACGGAATGTATCAAAGCCGCTGTTCGAGTAGAAACAACCAAGGTATGAATAGTGATTAATCTTGATGGGGTTGACAGGTGCCCTCGTTGCCACCGGTTCAATAGCATCAGTCGTCGCAGCAGGAACTTGACCATCCCAGGGACGATGAGGAACATGCCCGGTAGCAAACACCGTCACAGTCTCGGTCCAGCGAGTTGTCTTGTACAAAGTCGTTGTAAGCTCATCACTGTCGGGGCCCGGACGAGGACGAGGAAGAGTCAAGTTCCAGCTTGGCTTTGGCTGGGTTGAGTTCCAGCTTGGCCAGGGGTCGTGGACACGCGGACGGTATTCATAGGCATCGATATATTGCACGTCCCAGTATGCGTTGGTAAAGGCCTCTGGGTTTCTTGCCACGTATTCATCGCACGTCGGGGCAAATTCGTCGCATTGATCTGTTTTGCCCCAGACAGCGTCGCCATAGTCGCCGCAAAAGTTCTGGTTCTCTTGGTCAGTCTCGAGTTGCTCTTCTCTCTTACATCCATCGGCTGATGTATGGATATGAGCGGATACGTTGAAACACTTACAATATTGAGAACCAATCTCATGTTCTTAAAGTAGCTGTCAACTCTGCATTGCGATCCCCCAAAGATAGCAATCGGCTGTCCCCATGTGTCAGGATCGGGCCTCTTGGCCTCAATATCTCTCGGGATCGACCCACGAGGGAAGTGCCAAATGCGAATATGCACATGATCCCATTGCATGGCGTAAACACCTCCATGAGCAGCGTTGAACCCGTCACCATATGATGAAGTGTCTTCAGATGAGGGATGAAAGCCGCAGCCAATGTTATCAGTGCCAACCGCACATTCCGTGTTGATTTGCTCGCCGCTGAACAAGCCGAGGATGTCATTGCCCTGAATACATCCGTCTGCCGTGTGGGCTGATATGATATTGGTGTGGGCTGTGTTGACACCTTCAATGATGTCAATCTCGCCGTCGTACGGCCAGTTGTCACCATACGTCCAGACTGTTCATAATCCATGGTCAGCCAATATCCTGAACATTTTGGCCGTCGGTGTTACAAAGGGTTCTGGTAAAACTTGCATGCTGGCCACAATCCACAATGTGAAGGAGGCATGTGTAAGAAGTCGGCAATGAAAAGGCCATGATCATATGTCTCTTTGCTCTCAATTCGGATGCTCGGCCGACCCCTATCCGAGACGGAATAGTTATTCGTGCTGTCAACCCCTAGCCGAACAACTCCTGTTCTATCATCGACTTGGTATAAGCCCATCGCATGAGCATTTTGTCTACTCTGATAGCTACATAACGCAGATTAGGTGTCAGCTCAGCAAATACAACCAATGGATAGAATCACAGAAGCACTTACGAAACAAATCCATGAGAGGGATCTAGCCCATCGAACCAGTTAAAGCCGGAGAGCAGAGACTCGCCAGCGTACGTTGTGGATAAAAAGTACTCCATCCTCAATCAACTGCCGCACAAACACTTGATACTGCAGCTTTTTGGTTGAAGACAGCTTGTCATGAGAGGAAGAAAAAGAAGGAAAGAAGGGGGTTTTCGGGGCTGGAAAAGGGTATTTGCACATTATATACACGAACATCTTACAGAGAGCCACTATTCAGACGCTGGAATGCTCTCTCTGACCCGTAACCTCATGGCGATCAAGGCCATGAATAAGTGAGACACACTATAGCCAGGCTCAATCCGGATGCCCGACAGGCATCGTGGCATTGTTTCCAGGGGAGACTGTCTCTGCCTCTGCATTGTCTAGAGCGGAAAAGGAAACATGCCAATTCCTGGAAGCCTCGTTGCCGGGATGGCCAAGACACACAAGAATGGTGTTGCTGGCAACGCACACGAGAGGGCATTCCACAGGGCGAGACTTTCAATTCACAGAGTCACCGAAATGGCCACCAGTCGCGCAAATCCCAGACCTTTGACGCGTGCCATTGAAAAGTTTTAATTGAAACAAACGCGCATTTACCAAGTCTATATTTTCAGGTCGGGTATTTCGCCCCAATACAGTAACGCCCCATGATATGCCTCCATCTACAGTTGCTTCCCGCTTGCTTAGATTTTTTGATGTACATGTTGCTAATCGTACATGCCGAATCAACCTCTGGCTGCCATGTTATAAAATCCACCTCTTGTATATATAAGACATCCTCAAGTATCCTCCAATGATAATGATCTTCCGTGTGATGTCACGGAGGATCCTTTATACAATGATCCTCCTCAGGCCTTCTGTGCCACCGAGTACACGTTTTCCGGTAACGGCGCATCGGCCCTGGCCACTCTCCCACTTGCCGTCGCGGTCTTCCATGAACTCCTCCTGTTTAGGGTGCATACCCTCAATCCATCGATGTATGCAGGTATAGCAGTAGACGACGCCCGTCTGGCAAACCGTCGGGGTGACGATTTCATCCACACAAATGGGGCACAGGGACGAGTCCTCTGGAAACCGGACAACGAAGATGGGGAGCATAGACGGCGTTGCAATCGGCGCCTCCTTTTCCGTAATGGCCACCTCTTTGGATTCCTCCTCCTCAGCCTTGTCCTCCTCCTTCTTCTTCTTGCCGAAAGAGCCCTTGCCAGACACAATGGGGGGAGGCAACTCGATGCTCTCGGCTGCCTTTCGTGACAACTGCTTCGCAAAGTCGGACTGGTACCACCACTCGAGGAATTTCAGCGCGAAAATACTCATGGGTAACAGCAGAGAGAGGCCCGACATGGCCCTAGACGCCAGCTCCTTGGGCGTCGACAGCAGGGATCGCGGGCCGGGCTTGGCGGCATTGCTCGCCGGCTCGGATAGCTTGTCGATGGCCTGGTAGTCGGCCATGGTCATCCTCCGTATCCTGGTGCCGATGAGCCACATGAGCGGGTTGTGGTATTTGGTACGATCGAACAGGTAGGCCAGATTAAAAGCCAGCATGGCAAAGCAGTAGGCCGCGTTGACGTGCGGGTAAATGTTGCGCAGAAACCATCTGTAGTAGTGCATGAATCGATCGCGCAGAGTCGGATTCTCGGGCATCCGCGTGTATGCCGCGCCCAGAAGCGCTCGGGGCGCATTAATGTCGTATGACTCGTCCAGCTTCCGCTTGAGATACGGCACGCCGACCAGCACGGCCAGGTTCTGCCACACATCCTTGGTCGTGAGCTTGAGCGTCTCGCGGACCAGATGCGGCGCGGCGAGGCTCGCTCTCGGGATCTCGCCGTGGAGCGCCTTTTCGCGTTTCAGGCCGTAAAAGTTCTCTGTGAAGGAGCCGCCGCGGGTGCGCAGGTAGTGACGCTCGACGGCGAGCATCACCAGCGCGTATAGCTCGTCAAAGGAGTTGAGGATTCGGAGCAGGTATCGCGGATGGCGGTGCGTGGCGACGGTCAGGAGGTATCGCAGCGTCGGCGGCAGCAGGCTGTTGAGCTGCTGCTCGGAGAGAACCTCGAAAAGCGAGGGCTTCTGGCCGTCAAAGGTGCCCCTGAGGGCCGTGATGAACTCCATGGCGGCGGCTTGCTAAGCTGCTGATGACGCTGCTAGCTGTTGTTGCTTTGCCGCTGCCAGCTGCCAGTAGCAGTGTCGGTCGATCCGATGCTGTCGCCGTCGCCGTCGCTGTCGATGAATGCTGTATTTCGTGTGCGGTGCAGGAGGCGGAAAAAAACAAGAGAAATGATGCAGAGATGGAGGCGACGAAGTTGTTGATGATGAGGTGAAAGTACCTACTAAGGTAGTTAGGAGGGATGTAAAGGTACAACTCATCTCAATAGCCTGGATTTCGGCATGGCGCGGTCCACGCACTAAACCATGTGAAGTGCCTCGGTAAAAGTGCCGCCGCCATCAGCCCCAGATTCCCCGGAAACGTTGGTTTGGAGCCAGACACTGGGAGGATCGTATGTTGGCTTTATTAATGGTCCATGAATGATTGGATATTTTGAAATAATCGTGCTATGAATACATTGATTTTTTAATTAAAAGGTGAGAGAAACACTCTCAAAGCATCGAGGCCCATTCCATCGCCTCTTCAGCACCGAGTCCCGGGTACTTGCTGGCTTCGATTATGGACTGGAGTACCTGAGCGTGGATGCATATAAATTGCCTTTCAACTCAAAATCCCATTATAGTGCCAAATAGCAGAGCATATAGTTACCTGTCAATCACTCAAGCTTGTTTCTTTTGTCTCGTTGTGTCAATGATGTATCAATAATGCATCGTACATGTTTGGCCATTTTACAGCTGAACAAGGCCAGCATCGATCCGCTAATAATAAAACACAGACAATCTAAGCTCACGCGCTAGCAAGATCCAAACCGAGGTTCATTCCCCTGCCCGATGCGACACTTTCCCATCTCATCTCACTCTCAATCGACTCTCACTAATCACGTCCACTTCACCAGACATCAACCACCATTGCATTTGTGCAATTGACGGCTGAATTCGCTCTCAAAAACCATCATAAAATCCTCCTTTAACACTATCTATACACAAATTGAATCGGGACCAGTTTGACATCTTTCCGCGCAGCCAGCGTCGCGTCCCGTCTTACTTACTCACCTCAACCACTCACTCACAATGAGCAACAATAACGACATCCCCCACGAAGACACCGACATCGGAAAAGTCGAGGCTTGGTTAAATCACTTTTCTCAGCAAGACGGCGAGGAAGTATGCTCAAAATCTTCCTCTCTAAGATAATCCTACAAGTGCTAACGCAAGGTACTCACAGAATCGGCGGTGGATGAACAACCTCATACCCAACATCAAAGTCCTATCTGCATCATCCGCTCTCCCCCATCCCTCGGTGAAATTTTCATTCACCGTCGAAGGCAAGCACACCAACGGGTTTAACAACATGCACGGCGGCGCAGTAGCATCGCTTCTCGACTTCTGTACATCGTTGGTCCTTGTGCTCGTCAGCAAGCCTGGTTTCTGGCAGACCATGGGCGTTAGCCGCACCCTCAACACCACGTACATGCGCCCCGTGCCCGCCGGCATGGAGGTAGTCGCGGAGTGCGAGATCCTGCAGGTTGGTAAGAGACTGTGTGCGTTGCGAGGCACCCTGAGAAGAAAAAGTGACAATGAGTTGCTTTGTATCTGTGAGCACAACAAGGCGAATGTTGATGTTGTTGACCCAGAGCCCTCTAAGCTTTAATGGACAAAGGCCATGGATTCTCCAACATGACAAATATTGTTAATGAGAAATGGGATTTGGTACGAAAGCTTGCCAGTATAATAGAAAAGGAGATCCGTCCTACATAGACACCATAAGCAATATGAACATCTCAAGCCCCAGACGACGGCTCTGGATGGTCCTCGATGTGATGGGTAATCTCAATAATCTCCAACTCCGCATCCATTAACAGCTCTGGCAGCTCATTCGCTACCGGCTCAGACTCGGAGTCATCCTCTTCCTCTTCCTCTTCATTCTCCATCGTGTACTCCATGTCGCCCTCCGGATCAGAATCTTCCATCTGAATCAGTGCGCTCCACAGGAGAAAGTTTCTGGGAAGAACAGCGTGCGTACCATGCGCCGTCTCCGAATCACTAGCCTTCCAGAAAGCCGATGGTCCACAGGGGCCATGAGGATCGTAGTCTCTGCAAAATAGTCCTGTCAGTTGAAGGATATTGGTGGATGCACAAGTGTTTGGCCTTACCTGTCAAACCAGTTACCTAAAACTTTGCCACTTTTTGGCCCTGATAATTGAATTGACTCGCTTTTCCAGCGTTCGTGTCCTTGAAAGATGGACACTGATGTCCACCGTACTTCGCCCTCCTTGGTCAAGCCAACAGTACCTTTCGAAGTAAAGTCTTTAGCTTCAGTAACGCTTATCAATAAAACAGCCGCAGCGATCATGATACATACCTCGGAGATCAGAAGACGCATTGTCGTCCCAAGAATCATCAAGTGGGCGAGAGGTGCCCTCATAGTGCACGATTGGCAGATCTGAGGAGTACTCCGAATCAGGTCCGGCTTCTTCGATTTTTGTGACGTGAATCCTCATAATGATTAACCGAGTCGCTTCCCCAACATCGAGCGTATGAAGAGGGGATTCGTCTCGCTCAGGGTTGGTGAAGTTGTAGCTAAAAAAGTCGTTGTAGTCAAGGAAGCACACAATCTGCAAGCAAGTTAAGCTATTGACCGCGGCTTATTTCAAATCGGGACCTAGGACAACATACTCGATACCAAGTGCCGGTTACGCCATATGGATCCATGGCATCCAGTGACGACTTGTCGGGATTAGGGGAGGATATGAAGCTGCCACTCCATGAACCAGAGAAGGGGCTGTCCCAAACATCGCTGAAAAGCCGCGCGAGCTTCTTGGTGTAAAGATTACTTCCCAGTACAATGAGGATTGCCTCCACCTTCTCCCAATCTACTTTTAAATCGCCATCTTCATCCATGAAGGGGCCCCATCGAGTCCGGTTGGTGTACTGCCGAATATCGTAGACTTTAGAGCAGGCATAAGGATAGGTCCTCGCGGATCGTAGCCTTCCAGTCTCAAGGATTGGCTTGCCGTATAAGCAGTGGAGCCTGGCGCTTTCTTGTTGTTGCCTCCTATCCAGAGGTGGGAACTGGTGGTGCTGAGTTCTGTGGACCCTCTCAAACAGAGATGATTTCTGGAGAAAGGCTTTGCAGTTGAGCTCGTCTTCAAAGAGAGCCTTGAGAAATTCTGCGTTCCTGGACGCATACTGAGTGTCGGACGCTTCCATGGCATGGCTATCGGGTGAGGCATGCTTAAGCAGCCTAGTCACTACTTTGTGTACAAAACTCAGCTCACCCTCCTATATCGTGTAAGTGGTTGATTAGCGCATGGTTACTTCCACAGATTGATGAGCCAGTAACATCAAGACTTGCCTTGTCTTCAACCTTTTCACGGTGACAGATATTCTGCAACTTGACGATGTCAAGCAGCTCAGTCTCCCAGTCAAGTCTGTCATCATCAGGAGGTGAATCCTAACTCATATGGTTAACTCGTGCTCTTAATACATCAAACCGAGATATCAGCCCCCCGAATACACTCACAAAATTATGTATATAAATGTCTTCACACAGCTTCTGATTCCCCTTCACGAAGCTGTCAAGGGCTCGACAGACGCGGGGTAGCGACTCGAGATCCTTCGGCGCCAGCCATTGCAGAATGTTGTGAAGGATCTCGTTTGGCAGCGTCGTGAGATGGGCCATGTTAATCTTGTGTTTTGTGAGATGAACGGCAAGCTCTCTGCAGTGCCGAAGCTGAAAGTTGAGGTGACAGGATCCCAATCAGGAGGCGGGCTAGGTGATGATGCCATATCGCTTGTCCGGCTGCGACTTGTCGTCCTTATCTCCGTTCCATCAACACGCACTGTACTGTGAGCACTATGTGGGGCGTTGCGGCGTGGGGGATCGGGCCTAGTTTTTGTCCGTGCGGAGTAAAACTCCGTGCGGGCGGACCTGCGGCGTGCACAGTGCCGAGCACTCAGTGCTACTAATCCAAGGTTGTACCGTTGATGCCGGTTGCGGTTCTGGCCAACGCTTACAGATACTCGTACATGTATCCAGAAAGGTAAGTCTCATAGGCAGCCACTCATCCTCCAATCAGAACTGGCCGCTTCGGAAAAGAGACACTTATGAGAAGGCTGGTGATGATTTCCAGCGTTCGAATCAAGCAGTGAGGAAATGGCGGTTGATGTCGAGCGTCCTTTGAATTGTTCTTCATCCAATCCCTCGGCCAAGGATTTTTTTGCTGCTCCAATGATAGCAAGAGGCCAATGCTCTGAGAGAACGTCTTGATCATCGGTACGCTATTGTTTGCCAGAGCGTTCCCCTTAGAGACCGGATCGGGGGGTGAGTAAGTGACATTGGGGGCTGTCGTCACGGCATACAGCTTCCTTCCTGTTGGTGTTAGGATCAGCAAAACTCATTGCTCTCGTAGTCAGGCGAGCGTCTTGGACGATATCCCGTTCCGGCGTAGAGCTCAGCTGCAGATCTGTGCCCCAGACTCCCTCGAGAGCTGTCGATGAAATGCAGTTCACTCCGAATACATGTAGCCAGCGTCCCGGGAACCTCCGTATGCTGACATCGTGCAGGAAGAGGCGCAGTTTCGCGGAAAATCTTGAGCAAACTGATAGGATATGATGGTCGTTCGGTCTGCTTGTAAGAGACCAATACAGCAATGACAGTTGTCGTGACATTCCCGAAACACTCGTTGGCCAGGTAAAGGATTTGGTGGCTGCTCTCGAGGTTCACAGGAGCCGACCCAAAGGCTCAGATCCGTGCCGGTGGCGGGAGATGTTTCATGATGGCTCCTGGAGCTGAGCTACCTATCCCGTTTGCATGGCCTTTAAGGCGTCATCGTTGGGGAAGCGTAGGAGATCCTCTCCCTTGCAAGTCGTACGGATGGGTGGCCGTCATCAAGGCTGGCCTCGCGCGAGCGTCGGCGGTCTAGGATTCAACCACGATACCAGTTACTGAACAGCTGCAGAGTTGTTGGCCAAGTATTTGCAAATTGAACAGCACAGTTCAACAAGCCCGCAGTCAAACATCGACGGCTATGTGTGTCTGTCGCCCCCAATCTCACATGTCAGGCAACGCCGATCTCTACGGCTGATCGTGAGAGGATCCCACGGCATGTCTAATTAAGCTCGCAAGCCAAGTTTTCGGAACGCAAAGGTAATTGAATAATACCACCCTTCCCCCTTGGCAAGGCTCGAAAGGGGGTCGTAGTGGGATCAACGTGCAGCGGGGGGTCTGAAAAGAAGGGAAAAGATCAACCATGAGGTGAGGTACAAACGGGTGAAATTCAGCTCAAATATCGCAGCCTCTCGTCCAGCCACTGGCTTTATAAGAGATTATACGAGAGAATGTGAATTGGCGTTATAATGCAATTTGTGATGATTTTGGAGCCTCCAAAACATGTATCCACCGTCGTACTATGCCTGTTCTGGAGTTAATTATTTGGTTTGTCTTCCGTATGACTCCATATTAGATGTAATGTTTGCAGAATATGTGAATCCAATATAGAGTAGGTACTCCGTACATGATTAGGCAAAATGAAGCATCTTGGGATGGTAGCACCAATAAACAGTCACCCCATTACATGTATGTACTGTCGCTGCGTTGTCGCATCTTTTGTGGATTGGAGAGCCATTTACTCCTATTAGAAAGCTCTGTTCGATTTTGGTGACGCTGGAGGCTGACCGTCTCCCCATGCTGCCTGGAAACCAAGGCGGCGTCAGCTGAATCATGCGACATGCATGCGTCTGCTTGCTTATTCTTATACGAGAATACATGTACCTACCAGTCGACGGAAGAAAGGCAACCGTGGCTGGAACATGACATTGACATTTGGATGCAAGCTGTGGTGAAAAGTTGTAGAGTAGAGTAGAATACCACCTACCTATAAGTGGAGGTGCTGCGACATGCCCATTGTGCAATCACTGGATTCAAGGCATATTCGGCCCGACAGTGCGAGATCCGATCTCTGTGACTTGCAGCACACGGGAAAAGCAGTACATCCAGTGCGCCTTATTGCTGTCTGTTAGCGATTGCTATTTGGTAGAAAATGATGAGGCAATTACGTTGAGGCACATACATGTACGGGTATGCTTCTTCTGTCCTTGTTCTTGTACGAGCTCGATTGATCCAAACCCCCCCGGCCTAGGCTTAGAAACACGGCCCCAGTTGCATGTGAGCAGTCAATAAATGCTGACCGAGAACCTGCAGACAGACGCCCCAAGTGCTTCGATTGACGCATCTGCCATTCAGCTGGCGTGGGCTCAGCAGATCCCTGCTCTGGTCCGTGGCAGCGGCGCGGGTATTGCTCCAACAACACTCAACCTGCTGCCACTCTGGTGCATCTCTCCGGCCTATCAAGGCATCGCGAGCGTGGAGGCGTGAGGATTCTCGACCGCTAACCCCCGCACTTCCAGCGCCCCCCAACGTGCTTTGTGCCGGGTCGTTGGACAAACCGTACAGTAGAAGCTAACGGCTGTCCACGCGGCATCCTTTCCTTCGACTTGGACCTCCCTGATCGAGGCGACGATCCATGCGAAACGGGGCGTTGGCCTCGGAAACCGTTGATCTCGGCGTCTTCCGCGCCTCGGGACCGGTGCCAACGGGTCTGGCCTGCGTGGGCATCGAGGCGTGCTCGTGCTCATGTGGTGGCCCGCTGCGTAATCGGCGATTATTTTTGGCCGGTGGGATTGGGGATGCTCCGCATTCTCAAGGCTCTGCTGTGCTGGTGCTGGTCCAAGCACCGGAGCATCGCGAGATCGATCAAGGTGTCACCAGCACCTGTGCGAGTACGAGTCCTGTACGAGTACATCGACGTTCCGGACTTAACCCCCATCCCATGGCTTCAATTTTAGCATTTTGCATTTGGGGGTTTGTGCGTCTTACTTGTGGCTATCGCCCGATAAGCTTTCAGTCGGGTCCGCTGCTACACAGACTACACCGGGCTGCAGCCACTCAGTTTCTTCTCTCCAGCTTCTCTCTTATTATGCCCTGTGCCTCTTCGAATCTGCGGCTTGCAAGGGAAGTCTAAACTCCACAGCGGGCGGGTCAGGCCGCGCCAGCCGATGAGGGTGACATTAGTAGCAAGGCTGAGGACAATGCAACTTACTTACTCGCACTGACTGAGGATGGTGTGCGAAATGGGTGCAATGGGCCTTGGCATGTGAGTCCGGCATCAACCTTTTTTTTTTCTTCTGACGTGTTCGCATTGGACGCTTGACTTGTCTTTAACAGGCCATTCATCGAGCCTGCAGACGACATGGTTCGAAGCGGGCGTCTCTGGGGCTGGCATAACGGCTCGTACCTACGTGGGAAGCATGCTGTGCAACATGATGGGTTTAGCCAGGGTTGTGAATGGTAGGCCTGCGCTGGGGTATCCCTCCCTCCCATGGGCATGGATCACGAACATGGGACTCGCCTCCGAATGTCCCGCCTCGTTATTGTACGGTTCGGTAACAGTAGTATTTGCGCGAGCAAGCAAACACCGCTGTCGTCTGTTGGCGAGACGCCGCTGCAATGCGAGGCAGACTGCGTGCGTGCGTGCGTGCATCGAATGGCACTAGTAGCACACGAAAGCCACGGAGCACGACGACATTGGATTACTTGATGAATATGTTATTAATGCTTTCAACGGCTGGCGTGTAATCCCGCGGATGTTCCCTCGAGACCAAAGTAACGGCCGAGGGGGGGGCATCAGCTGTTGGTTACGCGCATCGGTTCGTTCTCTTTACCTGTGCTAGTTAGGCTTTAAACGATTCCCGCGCCTGGACAATCCTCGTACATGGACTCGTACCCGCTCTGCAAGGTGCTGCATTCCGCCGAGGGAGAGTTGAGCTGGGAACGAATCCAGGCTGCGACATCCATCCAACCCAGCCTCCACAAGGCGGTTGCGCGGTTAATGGTTGAGTGCCTGGACGGGAAATAAAACTCCGCAAGGCCAAGGGACGGGTACTTGTATGGAGTAGCTGAGCTGTAGGTATGGGTAGGTACGATAAAACGAGGTACGAGTACAGCCGTTTATTTTACTCGTACAGAATCACAAGTAGGCTGAGTGATGCATCAGTAACCGTGCATGTACTGCACACGATGCACTCAAACTTCAGCCCTTTTTTTTTCTTTTTCGTTTCAATGCTCTCTCAAACATCTTTCCATCCTGTGCTCTTTTGCCCCAGTCGAATCCAGCCTTTCTCGCGCACCCAATCAGGGGTCCAGCCGCAGCATCGCTTGCACAGGCCCGCCCGCCTCGCCCTCACTGGCTCGGACGCCCAAATAGCGCTTGTAGGTGCATTTAGCAATTACAGTGCAGCGCTGGAGTGCATGTGCTAGGCCTGCCCAGCGGGCTAGTGCCAGTAAAGCCAGGATCCATGGGTGACCCCATGGTTCAGCATGGGGCAATGTTCCATGGGGGTCCCTCCACTGTCAATCCTTCCATCAATTCTTTTGCAACGCCCAATCTCCATCTGATCGCCCACTGTCCCGCTCCATCTTGTCGTCCCATCACCATCAAAAAAAGGGACCAGGAAAAAAAAAGAAAAAAAAAAGAGGACGGCTGACTGCTGCACTCACCAGCAACACGCCCGGCCCGACAAACGGCCACGGTCGACGCCTCACGGGATCTGCCCTGCCCTGCTCTGCTCAGATCTGTGCTCTGCTCACGCAAGGCATCTGTCTGTGCTTTGGGCAAGCTCCAGCTTTTTCCAGCGTTGAGGCCATCGTCGAGTCGAGTCGAGTCGAGTCGAGTCGCTCAGCTTTGCCCCCAGTCCCGCACCCGTCGCCCGCCCCTCTCCAGACGCCAGACGCCAGACTCCATCGTGAGCCTCAGTCTCGCAAGAGTTTCGTCTCTCCTGCTACGCGCCTTGTACTGCACTTCTCTGCGCTTCTCTGCCCTGCTTTGCCTTGCCATTGCCGGCGTGTCGGTGCTGAGCCTTGCCCTGCCAGTCACACGACGGTGCGCTATCGGCTGTCCATCGTCTTGCCCAGTCTTCGCCCGAGCCTCTTCGTTCCCTCGCATGATCGGGCCCGGATCTTAACCGTTGGCCGGGTCGTTCCGTTGGGCTGGTTTCGGCAGTCATGTTGTATTGAGCGCATCCTTATAATCGCTTTCCCGACATAGAGGGACGTCGTCTCGCCAAGTCCAACACCTGTCCAACACCTGTGTTGCTCTTTTGCGTCCCGCTTCCGCTGCCGGTCCCGTCACGGAGGTCCCGCAAGACTAGAAGAGATCAAGGACAAGAGAGAGGGAAGAAGAACAGGGAAGCCACTCCGCGGAGGAGTATCTTCGAGCGGCTGTTGATCGGAGACCAAGTCGTTGTACAATCTTTACTCTGCTTATTTTGTTTCCCATCCATCTACCGACGCGGCGATCCGGATCCCTCCCTTGACGCTGTCCACACCTTGTTGGTGGGCCCTCGATCTCTGCCCTCCTGACTTGTCTACCCACGAGAGAAACCGTCTCACATCAAGCAATGACTATTAGTGTTCAGTCTGCAGCGGCAAAGCCAACTTTACCCATCTCTCCGGCCAGCTCCACCGCCATGGGCTCCGCCCGCGATGGAAGCGGCGCGTCGCCAGAAGACTCTGGACAGGCCCGAGTTACCAAGACGGAGAATGGGACCCCCAGCCGTGATGAGAACCCGAAAAGAAATGGCGATGACCAGAATGAGGCATCGTCAAATTCCGAAGAGCCAACACGCAAGCGGAGGCGGAGCCGTAAGGGCCTTGAGAAGAGGTTCGAATGCAACGCCGAGGGCTGCGGGAAGAGCTACTCAAGAGCAGAGCATTTGTAAGTTGACCAATTCAGATACCCGTGTTTTCTTTCGTTGCTTCTTCCTAGGACGGCAACTGGGATCGGCACCGTTCATGGCTGTAGCAGCGCCCGTGCGTCTTCTTGCTGCGCGATATACAACGTCCGCATTCTTCAGCCCTTGGCAGATATGCTCGACTAACAGCATCTCAGATATCGACATCAACTTAATCACAACTCCAAACAGATTTTTCGCTGCGAGTACCCAGACTGCCCGCGGACCTTTGTTCGAGGCGACTTGTTGAAGCGTCATATGGACCGGCATACGGCCAAGGGCTCACAGCTCAACAGAAGAGACTCCATGGTTAGCCATGCGGCATCTGTTACTTCTCCCAAGCTCGTTCCTGTTGATTCCAGTCGGCCTGTGCCTGTGCCTGTGCCTGTACCCATTCCCGCGCCCGTGCCCGTGCCTGCATATCATGATCCCAGGCCACCCCCACCAATACATCATCATCACCCCTCTCCTCAAGAGCCTCCGGGGGACCCCTACCCTCTGATAAACAATGCCGGTCCTCCTCTGTTCCCCGGTAGTGTGTCGTCTGTTGGGCATGATGCGTATGGGCGTGACCCCATCGCTCACGGCGCGGCCGCGCCTCGCAGGCTGGCAAGTGGCCAGTCTTCTCATGGACCGACCCGGCCGTCGATCCAAACCAATGTCGGGCCATACGGCGTGATGTCACCAGCCTCCAGTGGACAAGGCTACCATAGCCAATCCAGCAGTACTCCACAAACTGCCGGCTTCGTGCCTCAGCATAACGTTCTTCCGTTTAGCTTGCCTCCGGCGCAATATTCTCACTTACAAACGGCCCCAGCGCCGCCGAGGGACGGAGCGCCGTCTCATGCAACAACAACAGCAGCGTCGGCGCAGTATTCCGACGCCCACCACCATCATCCAAACGAGATGATCATGCTGGACCATATGGAAATGTCAAGCAGTGGACCAGTATTTGCTGACGATGGTGTCAACAAGTCTCCGTATGTAGGGATGCCCGAGGATTTCATGGCATATCTGTTCAACTCCTTGCCAGCACATGGTTCTCCTCACCCGCAGGCGCTGCCTCCTCCTCTCCTAAAGTAAGCAAAACTAAACGCCCCTCCCAGCTGGGATCTGCTATAATACCAAGCTAATGCCCCCTTTCAGTTACGGCGATTCGCAGAATGGCAGTCACGACGACCACTTCTTGGGCGAGCAATCAACTGTGGGATTCTTTCCTTCTGACCCACAAGATGTTATGGCTGTTAACAACATCTTGGAGCAGCATGCCCCAGAGGCCAATATCACAGAGGAGCGTAGCCAGGAGATCTTTGACCTGATTAGCGACCGCTTCCAAGAAGACAATGAGGACATCTCGGCGAGGCAACGGCGCAACAGCATCCTGGGCGGCGACCGCTCGTCCGGAGAGCACATGCTAAGCAGACGGATGATGCAGGCCTACGTTGGGTCGTACTGGTACCACTTCAGCGATCAAATGCCAATCTTGCACAAGCCCACCTTTGCCACGGAGAAGACGCCCAACCTTTTGCTCATCGCCATCATGGCCATTGGCGCCGCTTGCCTGGACAGAACACACGGGACGAAAGTGACCATGGCAGGCGCCGAGGTGTCCAATTTCCTCGCGGAGCATTTGCGATGGGAAGTATTCATGGAGCGCAGCTTTCGGCCTCCCGCTAAGTTATGGGTTTTCCAAACGCTGATCCTGCTTGAGCTTTACGAAAAGATGTACTCAACGAGAGAGCTCCACGAGCGAGCTCACATTCACCACGCCACTACGGTTACCTTGATGAGGAGGGGACGGTCTCTCATTGGAAAATCGACATTGGATTCGCCACCCCAGCACAGTTCCGACGGATCGCGAAAATCTTCGGCTTCTGGTATAGCTCACACAGCCGACGAATGGTGGAACCACTGGATTACGAACGAGGCTACTCGGAGAGCTGCCTTTGCTGCTTTCATCATCGACTCGACCCACGCCACCATGTTTGGCCACTCGGCAGTCATGGTAGCCCACGAGATGAGGCTAACGCTCCCTTGTGACGAGTCTCTTTGGAGGGCGGCCAGCAGCGCCGAGGTCGGTCGAGTCGAAGCCAACCTAATGTCCCGTGGCATCAAACCCGTAACGTTCCTCGAGGGCCTAAAACGCACATTGAGCCATCAGGACGTACGGACGACACCGTTCGGCCGATCAGTTCTCATGGCCGGGCTTCTTAGCGTCACATATCATATGCACCAGCGTGATCTTCAAGTCAACGTACTAGGAGGAGGCGTCATCCAGGCCCTCGGCGGGCGAGACAAGTGGCGGGCAACTCTCACCAGGGCATACGACTCGTGGAAGTCCAACTTTGATAAGGCGATTGAACAGAACGAATCCGATCCCTATAGATTGGACCAGCAACAACAGTATTTCAACGTCGTCTTCGAGAGTCGTACGGTGTTGCACCATTTGGCCCACATGGCTATGCACGCTGATATTGTAGACTGCCAAATGTTCGCCCGGGCGAAGCGGCTTCTTGGTCGGTCCATCGGCCATCAGGAATTCCTCAGCGCTCAGCGAAGAATCAAGGAGTTTTGGGCCCCGTCTGCAAGGGCTCGCGATGCGGTGTATTACGCACTCAAGTTTCTCTTGTCTGTTCTTGTGCCCGACCAAGCCGGACCCCCGTATTCGACGAGTCCTGATCACGACAAGCCCTACGAGACCCGCGATGACGTGCTCTTGAATCGACCCTGGGTCCTCTACTTTGCGGCACTGGTCGTCTGGTGCTATGGGTTTGCGGTCGAGGGGCCGTGCTTGGCTGGATCGACGCCGGTGGGCCACCATGAGCAATGGCAGCAGATGAGAGCCTACCTCAGCAAGTATGGCGGGGTGACAGACCCCAATGAGCTGAGAAACATGCGAGGGATAAACGGCAACACGGCGTTGCTCATGGTCCTAAAGGATACCTTTGACAACTCTCGATGGGAGCTGCTCCACGAAGGGGCCAACCTGCTACACAACTGCATAGTGCTGAACTCTGGAGGCAACGTCTTGTAAAAGCCCTGCGAGCGACTGACATTTTTTTTCTACTTTATGAATTCACGGTATATCTTTTTGCTTTTGCTTTTTACTTTCTATTGGATTTTGATTTTTTGGTTCGTCCATGCATCACGATTTTAAGGGATACATCAGCCGGAGGGCGGGGGGTACAGCTGAAAGATTTTACGTGCGGATAGCTGGCGGATTTTGCCTCCAACATTTGGGACGGCGCATACTATTGCTTGGTTTCAAAATACCCCTTTTTCTTGTGACAGCAATGGCGGGTTGTGTACGGTCTTGTGTTTATTATTGAAGGATATGAAATGTTTTTTGGCTTTGTGGGAAATCAAGGGGCAAAAAAAGAGCCGGGCTTGTTCAATAAAAATGGAAAGATTTATGTGCTTTTCGTCTTTCATGTTGTTCTGTGACAGTATGTTGGAACACTGACTTTCCTGTTGCAAATCATGCTTTTGGCCAAATACGCCATCTTATAAATTGCAAATTTCTACTCCAAGTACTATGGGTATAGGTTCTCTAATCATGTACATAAATCTCATAGCCGTCAAAAATATATCTCTTCTCGAGCCTTTTGTCAACACGCCTTGGCCCGGGCAAGGGGTTTCTTCGCCGGCACTTTTTTGACAACGACCTTGTTCGCAGCCGTCTTCTTCGCAACGACCTTTTCCTTCTTTGGCTTCTTCTCTACCTTGGCCGGTTTGCTTCGTGGAGGTGGGCTTTCACTCTTTTTCTTCTTGATGAATATGATTTTGGTTTTTCGCGGTGGTGCCTTGGCGGGTTCCTCGTTTTGCTGCTTTGTCTCTTCCTCCTTCGGTTTCTGTTCCTCTTTGACCTTTTTGGCTCGTGGCTCGGCCTTTTTGGGCCTTCCTCTGAGCTTTTTGGCGGGGAGTTTGTTGTCTTTGTCTTCTTCTTTCATGTTTTTCATTGGAAGGCTGTTGTGTACCAAGGTGAGCTCTGGGTCAACCGGCAGTTCTTCGCCCTGCTTCACGTTGTCATCGTCCAACAAATCCCAGTCAAAGACGCCGTCATACTCATGTCCCCGACGCTCCATCAGCCTCCTATACATTGCCCTCAGATTGGCGTAGTTGGGCTTTTGGTTGTACCCAAGCGAGCGGACGTACTTGAGGTGTCGGGAGAAGGCGGACGGAAGGCCTTTGCAGATGACGTCGATTGGCAAGGCGAGCTTGTGGCGGGTGACGCGGTTCCTCAGGGCGTCTGTGGGCTCGTTTTCTTCGGCGTAGCCTTGCCAGGGGAGGGAGCCGCGGGCAAAGTAGATGAGCATGTAAGCGAGGGATTCAAGATCGTCTTTGGGGGATTGACACTTTGAAGGTTCTTCTTGTTAGGTCTTTGGAACGGATCATGATGGAAAAAGGGGGGTGGGATATGTACTCACGCGGTCCAAGTCAGCTGCTATGGGTGCCCAATAATAGGTGCCGCAAAACGCATAGCTGGGTGCAATAGCAACCCCCTTGTCCCGCGTATAATCACCGACGAGACCGAAATCCAGCATGTAAACCGTCTGCCCATTCTCTTTACCAAAGCCCATGGCGAAGTTGTCCGGCTTAATGTCCCTATGCAGAATGTTGAGCGAGTGAAACGCCTCGAGACGCTGCAGCAGCTGGTCGGCCAGCATGAGCGTGGTCTTGAGCGAGAACTTTTTCCCGCAGCGGTAGAAGAGGGTCTGGAGGGAGGCGCCGAGGAGCTCGCAGACCATGAACTCGTAGGTGTCCTGACGACCGTGTTGGTGGAATTTTGCGATGCCTTTGCATTTGTAGAGGAGGTTGTAGTAGAAGGCCTCGCTTTCGAGGTTGTCCATTTGGGAGGGCGAGGATGTTGCGGGGAGGGTTTGGACTTTGACGGCGACGATTTCTTTTGTTTTGAGGTCGGTTGCTGATGGTTCTCGCGTGTTAGTGGTGGGATTGAGAGAGGAGGGGGGAATGTGTTACCGATGTAGACGGTGCCGAAGCCTCCTTGGCCGATGATGCCGTCGAGGCGCCATCTCTTGTTGATGACGTGTTTCTGGAAAGATGAAGATGATTAGTTTTCTTGTTGGGAGATGGGTGAGGTTGGATAGTGTGAGATGTACCTTGATTTCTTGAGGCATGATGGCCTGCTGAAGTGTAATCGAGGCTATCAGAAGGCAAGATGGAAGTAGACGAATATGACAGTTGAATTCTTTGGGGTGATTCTATGAGGATATATATACAGGTTACGGAGTATTACCAAAAGTGTATTATTTCTTTGTACAAATTGGCAATCTCTTTTATGAGCATCATGATCTATAATTGGAAAATGGAGACACGCTTTGAAAGACGAGGATAAAAGAAACATAAAGAGAGCATGGGGAAATACATGTAATAAAGAACATGGTCTAACAAGGGATGAAAGATGTGCCAATGCATCCGCTCATCTATCCATTGTCCCGACATGAGCCGGGTTCATTGTAAGAACTGTGCATGTAGGATATTGCTGATGTCTCCAAGCTTGACATTCTCATGTATAGTAGCTATTATACAGGTAGTACCTGAAGCACGGCGGTGGAGTTGAGACCTCAAAGCTACCTCAGTACGAACATTGAGCCCAAGAAGTCAGCGGCTTGGTGCTAGCCCCAATGCGGCAATGTATTGTCAGGGTCGCCAGTGACATCACCGATATCTTATCGCAATTCGGGGTTCACCGTGCTTTTTGTTGTATTTTTCTTCAGCAGCAGCGGCATCGGCACAGCATTTGCAAATATCTCCCTATTATTTACTATTTGCCTGGTACTAGATGGGTGCTGTCAGAGCAAAGAAATGCTTTGGTTTCAATTCTTTCTTCAACAAGAATAACCGCGGCTATGGCAGATCCTTGACTCAGCTGCATGTCTCAATCCGATCTTTTTTTTTTTATATTTTCCCTGCTGGTGAGACGCTGCACAACTTGCTACCGCGCCTAAATCCAGGCGCTAGCACCTAGCACCAGGAACAAAAAAGAAATCGAAAAAAAGCATGGAAGAAAGAAAATCCCCATGTGGCGAAAAGAGGCGAGCACCTAGAAAGAATAAAGAAGCCAAAGAAGAAAGCGAGAAAAAAGAAAAGTCAAAAAAGCCCGCCCTAGCAAAAGCCATTGATGCAAAGTACTTGTAGCTTCTGCTCTAATGCAACCACCGTAGGTACAAAGGCGCCGCATACTGTCTGCCCACCAACGTGCAGTACCTCCCGCACTTGGCCTAACTCTCCGTCCCAAGTTGTTTCTAGCGCTCTTCAAGCAGACATGCTAAATGGCTGCCCGGGAAAAGAGCGTGGGAAAAAAAAGGCACCGGCACACACGCATCCTCTTAGACGCCAAATTCGGTGCACGCGACGCATTAAAAACCGACCCCACCAGAAGCGCCTGGTGCCTCCCCCACTTTCTGAGGGCGGAAGGTCAAGTCAAGCCAGGACAGGTTCGGGCTCAGGCTCAGGTTCAAGGTACCCTCGCACCGAGCAACGCCGTCAGCGGTACTTTGGCTTCGGCGCTGTCAGTCTCTCGGTACTAGAGGTAGCGCGTCATTCCGCCCACAGTGCCGGTTCAGCGCTGCTTGTACACTCGCAGCGGGAAAAAAAAAGGCGGCCATTGCCCATAGCAAAGAGTCAGGTGCTGCCAAAGCCTCTCCCTCGTTCCTTGTCCAGACCCTCGCTTCTCCTCCGAACCTCGCAGCCCACACGCAAGCAAAAGCAGCTGAGCCCTTTTCGTCCATGAAATGTGACGATCGACTTTGTCTCCTCACTTCTTCCCACAGCTCTCCATATCCCGCATTCTCGCTCCTGCTTCTTCGTCTAGCAGCTTCAAACGCCAACAGCTTGCATTGCCCTGATCGGTCCACTTTCTGCTTTCCTCTCTCTCTCTCTCTCTACTTTACACACTTGCCATGGCTCCGACCAAGACGTCTCGAAAAGATCACGACGAGCACAAGGCCGACGCTCCCGTCAAGGAAAAGAACGGCCACGGCTCGACAAAGATGCGCCGCGGCGCAAGCCAGCAGACTCACGCTGCCAACCGCGACCCTCATCCCGCTCCCGCATCTGTGCCCGTCCAGGTGCCGGCCGAAGCCCTGCTCCCAAGCGTACGTCTTTCTCTTCTCCTTCGTTGGTTGCTTAGCCCACCTCTCCAATCCTCCTCACCCAGCACGTCAACAGCGATGCTAACACGACCCTCACAGCTTCCCTGGGCCTCCTTCGAGCGACGATCCCTCCACGCCTACCTCCGCGAGCACGAGCTGACCACACCGTCGTCCTACTCGAGTTCCTTTCACAATTGGGTGCTCTCGCGACCCGGCAGCTTGGGCCTATACTCTCCCACAATGGTCCGCAAGCAGCAGATCAAGCGACAGTCCAAAGACCAGCTCGCCCTGGCCGTGCGCAAGCACTTCAATGGGCTGGGCATCCAGGAGAACGATGTCATTGTCGACTTCATATACAAAGTACGCAACCACCAGGTCGTAAAAGACCAAGGCACGGTCAAGCAAGTCATTGTCGTGGCTGAATGACTTGGCGCCTCATGAATGGAGAGCTCTGGCGAGCAGCTGCATCGCTTACTGGCATGGATTGGCGTTTTTGGCGTTTACAAGGTTTCCTGAGCACGACACCAGATGTGTGTACGTGGTGGGTAGATACCCGTGGGAGTCGTTTGGCACTCTGATGGCTTTTTGTTTTCCTCTTTTTCTTGCTTTTCCCTTGCTGGCTTTTTCTCTCCGTCTCTCACTTGTTTCCTGCGAGGCACATCGCGGTGTGCTCTATCGCGGCACACTTTTTACAATGGTACTACGGGCCGCAGAACCCGTCGGCTTAGGACTGGTTCAATTGTTTTTTTAGCAGCATATCGACAGGTACTGGCCTAGGAATTCACAGCGCCACTCATATAGAAGGGGACGAATTGGTGTTTTTGTTTATAAATATTCTGCGGCGAATTGACCAATACATCATGATGCTGAATGAAATCTACGGCTGGCTTTCATCGCTCTTTTTGCGTCGTTGAAGAAAAAAAATGGTGGCGTGAAACATTGCATGCGAGACAAAGGAGGGACGAAACATGCTACAAGGATGAGAGACAACTGAAGAAATTCCTTCATAGGGCACGGGCCTGGCTCAGGTGGTTCGACGATCCACCCTGCGCACTCTTGCATGTCCTCGTACTCGGTACTTGCGCCCTCAGGCGCTGCATGTCATCAGGCCAACGGCTCAGGCGTCGCTTGGCCACGACGAGACGTGCATGGAGCTGCCCGGCAGGTCGCCTGGCAGCCAGCGAGAGCTCCGTTCCTCGCAGCGTTGTACCCGGTACTTTTGCTTGCCACTCGATGGATGCGTGCTGCAGATTGACCTGACAGAGGTAACCATCCCTTAGAAACGTCGGGTTGACATGGGCATTGCAGTACAGCAGCACATCCAACACCACCTGATTGGCATCCATACGTAGTCCATGATATCCACGTCCGATTGCACGAGTGAAGCCGTTCGCGAGCATCGTCAATCAGTCCGTCTGTCATCCATGCCAGTGGGTCCCCTTTGAGCGGCTGGCTTATCAATTCTCGGCGTGCAGCCGGGAAATGACAAGAGCAGGCCTCTATGGGATTATCTGGAGCTTTACTAATATCACCAACGCTACAGGTGCGGCATCTCCCCAACAATTGGAGCTGCCCGCAGAGCCGTTGGAGCGCAATTATCCCGTTTCCTCAGCCAGATCGTTTCTCCCAAGCAAAACGGCACGAGGGCGGGATCGGCCGGGTTATGACGGCATATCGGAGGCGCGGAGAGCGAAACACCGTCAGGCACAAGCAACAGGCGTAAAAAGAGTTTGAGCTCCAGCTCGGCTTAAAATCGGCAGAAGCGCGGCAAATTCGAATGACGACCCCAGAAGAACCAATCGTAACCCCCACCTTTTTTTTTCTCGGTGCATGTTCGTCTAAATTATTTCTCGTCGCAAGCATCGACGTCCGTGGAAGCTTTTGGTGGGGAGCTGCTTAATAACTTTTTGGAGGGGACAAATTTCGAGCCGATCGCCGTAGAGCCGGTTCTTCTTTTCCTTAGCCTTCCATCTTGCCAACTCTTGTCTGGTCTTATTCTCTGTTCGGGTATTGCTCGGTTTGGGTGAAGGATTGAGATTGAGAAGCATCAGGAGGACAAGAACTAATCGAAAGAGAAGAAAGAAGAAACAAGATATCGGGATATCGACATCTTCAGCAATGTCCAACCTCCTCTTCAAGGCCGCGGCTCCGGCGCGCGCACTTGCAAAGAGCCATAATCTCTCCGGGGGACCGAAACTCCAGCAATGCCTCCGCAAAGGCGCTCGGCTTCACACGGCTTCTTTTCGCTCTCGCGCTGAGCGGCCCAATGCCCGGAAAGAGCACAACGCTCGAGCGTCTCAGAGGGTAGGTTCTTCAACACAGGATGTGGATGGAGTTAGAAGCTACGTACTGACAAGATACTGGTGATATTAGACGTTCCACGCGACCAATACCTTGCTGCAAAAGGATCCGTACAAGGCCCTCGGCGTGGACAAGTCCGCAACCGCCGCCGAGATCAAAAAGGCTTACTACGGCTTGGCCAAGAAGTTCCACCCCGACACCAACAAGGATCCCACGGCAAAGGACAAGTTTGGCGAGATCCAAACCGCCTACGAGATTCTCTCCGACCCCAAGAAGAGGGAGCAGTACGACCAGTTCGGCGATGCCAGCTTTGATCCCAACGCGGCCGGGGGCAATCCGTTTGCTGGCGCGGCTGGCGGCAATCCTTTCGCGGGATTCGGTGCGCAGGGTGGATTCGGCGGAGGATTCGGCGGCGGCTTCAACTTTGAGGACTTGTTTTCGGCTTTTGGTGGCCGTCGATCGAATCCTTTCCAGCAGGAGATTCTCGTGGGCGACAACATCGAGTCTCATGTGAGCATCAGCTTCATGGAGGCTGCCAAGGGAACGAGCAAAACAATCTCCATCACACCTGTCGAATCGTGCAACACGTGCTCCGGCAGCGGCTTGAAGTCTGGCGCTCAGAGGTCGCAGTGCCACAGCTGCGAAGGAACGGGAACGCGGGTGCACTATGCGCAGGGCGGCTTCCAGATGGCCTCGACGTGCGGAACCTGTGGAGGAACTGGCTCGACCATCCCAAAGAGCTCCGAGTGTCGGACGTGCTCCGGCCAGGGTGTCGTGCGCACCAAGAAGACCATCACCGTCGACATCCCCGCCGGTATCGAGGACGGCATGCGGCTCCGGATAGACGGGGCCGGCGATGCTCCCATAACCGGAAGGTCCACCAGCCCCGATGCCCGGGCCCAGCGCGGAGACCTCTACGTCTTTGTGCGGGTTGCTACGGACCCCAAGTTCAGCCGCGAGGGCTCCAACATTCTCTACACGGCTCACATTCCCCTCACCACGGCCGTTCTCGGCGGACAGGTCACGATTCCCACGCTGGACGGCACGGTGAACCTCAAGGTCGCCACCGGCACCAACACCGGCGACAAGGTCACTCTGCCCGGGATGGGCATGCAGCGCCTCGGTTCGCGGAGGGCGGGTTCCGGCGATTTAAAGGTCGAGTTCCGAGTCAAGATGCCCAAGTCGCTCAGCGCCAGCCAGCGCACCATTCTCGAGATGCTCGCCGATGAGATGGACGACAAGTCAGCTCGCCGCGTCATGAACGTTTCAAGGTCAGAAGGAGACTCCAAAACCTGAGCTGCCACGATCGCTTTACTAACGCGCAGATTTTGTTTGACGTGCAGCCCTGACCCCAAAGACCCTGATTCTCACAAGGACGAGGGATTCCTCAAGTCCATGTGGCATAATCTGACTCACCATCCCGCACATGAAAAGGACGCCTCTGGAACCTCTGGATCAACGAGCGAGTCAACCAGCGACGACAAGGGGAAGAAGGAGAACAAGTCTGCGTCCGACTAAGCTCTGGATATCTTCTGGAAATAGCGCCAATCTCTATTGCCGACCTACTTCGTTTCCATCCGTACGACATTCGAACCGAGGAAACTAAAATACTGAAATACTGAAAAAACCTAACGCGATCATGCATGAAACGTTGGTAGCTCCGAAAGGACAAGGGAGGATCATTTTTGCATAGAGCTGGGAAACTAAACACACACACACTCACACACAAACACACCCTCATCACACACCAAAAAAAAAAAAGGAGAGAACATGCATTCAAAAAAGAAGGCCTTGAATTATGTATGATATTATTGATGGCGGCGTTTTCTTTTTGCTCAGAACGGTTTGGGGCCCTGGCTCGCTGCCTTTTTGGGGGGGTTTACTGACTATGCTCAGGGCGGTAGATGCTTTGGGCATTTGTGTATATTAATAGCTGGGAGATGTATTTGGAAGAAGAAAAAAAAGAATGGGGGAGAGGTGGACGAAGAGACGAGGCCAATCTCCCCTCTTTGATATGTATGGCGCTGTTTTGCTACCTGTTTCTATGTGCTTTGTGTCCTTAAGCTGAGACGTGGTTTGAATCATGGCTGTGGTATTGCCGCATAGCTGTATTCATTTACCAGTCTTGGACGTATATATTCTGTGATTCCATCTTCTTTCTTAATCCGTGCCAGAAACATGCTTCACCATGACTCAAATTCTCGTCGAGGCAGCGAGATCCTGCTGAGACTCCTGTTTGCGCCGATGGTATGATGCTTGGCTACCATTGTCAGACGTAAAACCTTCATTAAACTCCAAGCGACTCACAAGGAAAAGATATCATCCTCCATTCCCAAAAGACCCCCTTCCAGCCCCCTTTGCCTCTCCCACTCCTCCTCGCAAAAAAAGCAAAAAAGAGGCAGTTTAGAGGGAGCCAGCCCGGACGCTTCTGTTTTCATATCACATGGTTTACTTCACTCCCCTCCCATCTTCTTCAACCAATCGGCTTAAGCTTCTTCTTCTTCTTCTTGTCCGGATCGCCACCCGACTTGCCCTTCTGAAACTGCCGCCAGCTATTGATTCTGACGTCCCGCGTCGCCTCCCAGTCCTGCTCGTGCTGCCTCTTTCGCTTGCGGTCCTCGACCTCCTCGTCCTGCCGCCGCTGCTCCCGACCTTCCTCCTGCAGCTGGGCCTTCATCTGGCGCCTCCTGCGGTGCTCGTTGTCGATGAGGACCTCGCGCGTCTTGTCGCGCCACTTCTTTGCGAACTCGTCCGTCTTGAGCTCGGGGCTGTCGACGGTCCACTTGTTCTCCCTGATGAGCAGCATGCGGGCGTCGGCGATGGCTTCGTCGAGGCGCTCGCGGTGCTTCTCGTCCATGAGCTCCGTCTGGGCCTTTTTCAGGCGGTCGAAGGCGTCGGGGGCGCGCGGGTTCTTGGTCTTGTCGGGGTGGATGAGGAGGGATTTCTTGCGGTACGTCGCTTTGATGTCTGATTCCGGGACGCCGGGCTGCAGGTCTAGAACGGCGTATCTGTAGAGATGAAGTGTTAGAGGGTTGGGAGATGATTCTGGTCTTGGGGGAAGGTCGTGCTCACGCATCGAGGCGGAATGCCTTGAGAATCCGGTCAATCTCGGCATCCTAGAATTC